CAGCCTCGTAGATGAATAACGTTTTCTTTAAATGAGACGTAAATGTTACCTCCATCACCCTGAGCAGCACGCGGTTAAAGCAGCATTTTACTTAAGAAATAAATGCCGTACACATTCATACCTCCCGCTGTGTCCTGCACACTGATCATACCGTATGTTCCAGATTATAAGACGCCCCCCCCGCCCCCGACTCTGTTTTAAATCATACGTTCGTGCGGTGCGTCTGATGGCTGTATGCGCTAGTAGGTCTCCCGACTCAATTGAGAGGTGCAGGCTTGCCAATGGGGCGGCAGCAGTCGCTGAAGCAAAAGCCCCCGGGCGTGGGAGGAGTTTGGAGAGGCCATGGAGAGGGACCACCGGGCAGCCTCAAAGATATTCTGGAAAACCATCCGACGCCTTAGGAGGGGGTCGACGGGACGTGGCCCAGGGTGTTCTCAATAAGGGTGGTGGCGTAACGTTGAACTCAACCAAGGAGAGAGAGAGTCGAGAGGTGGAAGAAACACTTTGAGGAGGTTCTCAACCCCGTGAACATGCCCTCGTCTCAGGAGCTGGGGGCGTCAGATCGATCGCGTCTGCTGCAGTCGCTGAGGCGGTCGAGGGTCTTCGTAGCGGCAAAGCTGCTGGGGTGGACGAGATTCGCCCAGAGTTACTGAAAGCGCTGGACAGCGTATGGGTGTCGTGGTTAACACGCCTTTTCGATGTTGCATGGAAGGGGGGTACAGTAATTCTAGATTGGCAAAATGGGGTCGCGGTCCCCATTTTAAAGAAAGGGGACCAGAGGATGTGCTCCAACTACAGAGGGATCACTCTCCTCAGCGTCCCAGGTAAAGCCTATCCCAGAGTACTGGAGAGGAGGCTGCGCCTGGTGATTGAGCCTCAGATTCAGGAGGAACAATTCCGATTCCGTCAGGGTCGTGGAACATTGAACCAGCTCTTTTCTCTCTCACAAATATTTGAGGGGTCATGGGAGTATGCTTCTCCAGTCTACATCTGCTTCATAGACTTGTAGAAGGCACGTGACCGTGTTCCCCAGAATGTCTTTGTGGGAGGTGCTGCGGGAGTATGATGCACCAGTGCCGCTTTTGTGTGCAATCCGGCCCTTTAATTCCTAGAGTGAGAGCTGTGTCGGTATTCTTGGTATTAAATCAAAGTCGATCACTGTGGGTGTTGGACTCTGCCAAAGGTGTGTCTTGTCACCACTCCTGTTTGTGATTTTCACGGACAGGATATCAAGGCGCAGCCGAGGTATGGAGAATATCCAGGACGGGGACATGGAGGTGGCGTCGCTGCTTTATGCAGACAACGTCGTCCTCTTTGCCTCGTCAGTCTGTGGTCTCCAGCGTGCCCTTGGACAGGTTGATGCCGAGTGTGCAGCGGCTGGAAAGAGGATCAGCACCGGCAAATCTGAGGTCATGGTTGACTCCCGGGAGACGGCGTAGTGTGCTCTCCAGATGAGGAGGGAACAGCTGCCCTTAGCGGAGGAGTTTAGGTACCTCGGGGTCTCTTTCGCGAGTTTTGATACGTGAGAGTGGGAGATCGGCTGTCGGATCGGTGCGCCGTCCGCAGCGTCGCGGGTTCTGAACCGTTCTGTGGTCGTGAAAGCGGGAGCTGAGTTCTCGAACAAAGCTCTCTGTTTATAGGTCGATCTACGTTCACCACTCTCACCTATGGTCATGAGCTTTGGGTAGTGACCGAAAGGATGAGGTCGCGGGTACAATGGGCCGAAATGAGGTTTCTCCGCAGGGTTCCTGGGCTCACCACTCTCGTTGTGACCGGGTGAGGAGCTCGGGAACCCGGGAGAGCCTCGGAGTCGAGCCGCTGCTGCTCCTCCGGATGGAAAGGAGCCAAGTTGGGGTGACTCTTACGACTCGTGCGCCTTTCGGCCACGCTTTCATGCGCGCGTGTCAGACGAGCGTCAGAGTGCACGTGTCTGTTCATTCGCCCGCTTGCCACGTGCAATGAGTAGAGAGCAAGGCTGGCGAACTACTTGATGGCTGTCAATGATGGTGAAGCATCATTCACATCATCTCCCCGTTCGCTTGCATGTGTTATAACATCTATGACAATGTGAGGGACTCTGTGTTGTAGTGATATCGTAGTAGAAGTAGTATTTTATTGTGCAATTGTATTGAGGGACTCTGTTGTATTGGTGTGGTCTGGGACTATTTTTTGCTGTTGTTTTACTCCCTTTCTTAAGCTTGGAAATTGATGAACTTGCAGAATTTAAACTTATATACTATTCATTTATGTAAGGAGCGGCACGGTGACGAGTTGTCATCTTCCTCGCCTGATCTACAGGAAGTCGGTGGTTCGATCCCGACCCTGATGCCTGTATATTTGGAGTTTGCATGTTCTCCCCCTGGTCACATGGATTTTTTCCCGAGGTTCATCCGGTTTTTCGCCTCCACATTTAGAAACATGCGCTTAGATTAATTGGCTGCCGTAAATTTCCACGTGATACGCCACTTTGTTGAGCGATCATTCGTGGCCAGGCTTCTGGAACGAAGCGAATAGCTCAGTGGGCTTTACCTGCAGCTGCAAACACCTGTGCATGCACCACACACACAACAAACACAAGCAATAACAACAAGGTTTTTACCTTTTTATCTGGCACAAAAACTGACACCTTTATACAAGGACTCATGTTTGCAATAACCACAACACAAGCAGTCGAAATGCAAACAAAAAAGACAACTCTGAAAATGATATGTACTGTCCTCATTATCAGAGTTGTCTTTTTTGTTTGCATTTCGACTGCTTGTGTTGTGGTTATTGCAAACATGATTCCTTGTATAAAGGTGTCAGTTTTTGTGCCAGATAAAAGTGTAAAAACCTATTACTATATCTTGTTAGTGGCAAAGGAGGTCTCATAAAATAACAACAAGCTCAATATACCCGTCAGTAACCCAGCCTCCAAAAGGAAAGACATAAAACAGGGCGACGTTTCGGGTTATGACCGTTCTGCGTCGTTTCTTTGTTGGTTTATTCTTGTGCGCCACTGCCAATGCAACGTCAACCAAAAGGTTCGTTTAATTTTCGACCGCAGAAATCAATGACTGATTTCGAATAGTGAGCAAGGATCGTGACCTGTAATTTTATCCGATCGCGTTGGATGTCGAACACGAGTCGCTGGCATCGTTTCACGTGGACTTACGTGAATAGAGCTTGTGGCATCGGTTGGAATGTATGCCACGAATTGCATTCTGTAACAAACTGTATCGATCTGCATGATGATGATGATGAGTGGATAGCCGATAGAGTCGATCACGACACCACTTTGGAGAGAAGGAACCATGGTGCAAGAAGCGTTATAAAACCCTGCAGTTCATTCCATGCCCCCAAAACCCTGGCACGTTTTTCTCACTCGGAATGTCAGCCAATCACGTCACGAGCCCTGGAGGAAATCGTTGAATCTAGATTCTTAGATAACTGCACGAACGCATGATGCGCCTGTGATCGATGCACCTGAAACGCGCCCGATCTTGTCGGACCTCGAAAGCCATGCAGGGATTTTGAGCCTGGATAAAGCTTGTGTGGGTGATCGCGCCGTACATCAGATTGTGATTTATATTTATATATACAGTAATATATTAGATATTGTCGGGCATCAGAACCGTCCCGAGGGCACGGCGAATCGGTGCGACCGCCCCGAGCCCACGTTTTGGGGGGCCCGAACTTTGACGTAAACGTGCCAGATGTTAAACTTTCGGTTTAGTTTGCAGGCGTCAGGATGCCCCACACGGTGGGATTCGCCCCGTGCCCCGCACCATAAATCACCCCCCCACTCCCCCATGGGCGACCCTATCCACTCCTGGTTTAATATCTTATGTTTCACGGTCATGCGATTTAACAATCACATCTATCTCCACGCCTGCCTGACGTCCTCTCGGGCATATTCACTCTTTTGGTAGTCACTCCGTTGTTAGTCTCGACCACCGGCCATCACCCCCCGTCTAGCGTGTCCTTCCCAAACCCCCTGTTCCTGACTCTCAATATGATGTCTCAAGCTCTATGTCTCTAACTTGCGCATGTCCTCATCCGGTGCACGTGTCCCCTATCCCGGCTCAGTGTGATTCGAACGAGACACACTTTTCGCAAAACTTGTCGCACTTTTAAGATGTTGTTCCACTTTTTTTGTCCGTGTCTATGTTTCTGATTCGCGCCACATAGCAAGCCGACAGCTAAACTAATTAAACGCAGCAACATAGCCATGTGCCAATCATTACGTAAGTTATAGATGGACGAAAATGCTGAAGTAAAAAAAAAACAAATAAAATAAATGCGCGCGCGCGTGTGTTACATACTGTAACGACTTTCCCCAGCACTGCCGCGGAAAGGGCCTCCACTAGTAGCTAGTTGGCCTATTCTTCCACGTTGGTTAGACGTAGGAGTACCCACATTACCCCCCACCACACGTGTCGTGTAACTCGATTATGTGATGTACACCCTTATCCTGCTGGGTGGACAGAAGCGGGGGGGGGGGGGGATTCCCAAAACGTGCCCCATTGTTTTTGCCACACCGTGGAATGTAATTATCTATAATCCAAATATTTACTTTTGGCTTCGTGACGTTATTAGCTGACTTAGTATTATTTGTACTGACATTCCACTGATTTGACATCTCTAATATACGAGTCGCGTGAGGTGTGGTAAGGGTGCTTGTTCATCATCGGATCACCTGGAATGCGCCGGATCTCGTCAAAAGCTAAGCAGGTTGAGGCTGGATAGTGATTGGGCGGATGAACACCATGCGTTACACGCGGGGCTACGTTATGGGCAGTGAAGATCATTACAGGGAAGAAGAAAAATCCATTGTTGTACTGTACTATGCCCCCACGTCTCTGCTCAGTTCCTGCCAGTAGTGTGTTGACACTTGTAAGCACGTGCATTGTGTATCTCGTATGTAATACACTACCATTTGTATTTACATAGCATCTACGATGAACAGCATGACATTAAATAGGATGGCGCGGTGGCACTGTAAAGCCGGCTCCCTGAGTTCCATTGCTGACCACGGCTACCATCGGTGGTGAGTGATATCCGAGCCGATTATGGGCACCACTGCACCCAACCCGTGCTGTCCAGCGTTCTGAAGTATAGTCGAGGATCACCCACGAACCCACACCGTGTAGAGAAGCAGGCAGGCCGTCATCCAGCAGTGGACTGGCGTACACCGACACACACGTGTGCCTTCCTTGTTCGCCAGCTGATGACACAGTCACTCCCGCACAGGTTTCCGAACGCGCGCAATTATTTCACCCGAAATAAAACCAACCGGCAAACAAGCTTCGTTAGTGTTATTTTTAGTCAGCATCGGTTTTTTTTGTTTTGCAAATATATTTTAGTCATAGCCTTGGTTTGCCGGGCGGCAGTGGCTACGTCGCACGTGGCCTGTAATCCAGCACTGTGGAGGCAGCAGCATGCAACCAGGGTTGGTGGATCACACACAGATGTTGCGAAATTCCCGTCCCGTGGGCGTCGAGGAGCCACTATCCCGCAGCTTGTCAGGAGAAAGCGGTTACAGCAGAGCGCGCGGCCTCATATCATCTGTCCCGTCTGTGTGGGATAGAGCGTTTCCCCCTCGCACGCGTGGGGTTTTCTCCGCGTGTGATAAAGTGTGCACCACTTTGTGGGAAAGTCAACAGTGGTTGCTCGGATGCAGCAACTCACTCCCACCCACCATAGCAAACGTGGAATTTCTACCACCGGCTCGGGGGGCTGTGAACGGGACATGGGAAAAAATATCATCACTCTTGACTTTTCACTTTTTGAACTTCGTTCGCTGCAATGAACACCGTCACTTCCCAGCCTGCGCGCCGGTGTACTCTGCAGCCAGGGCAGCGGTGACGGTGGTGGAAGAGGAGGAGGGGGGCGAGGGGGAGGCGGTGGCGGTGGTGGTGGTGGTGGTGGATGACAAGGAGGAGGAAGGGGAGCCGCTGGCGGTGATAATTGCCCTGCGTCGATGCTTACGCAGCGCGGCGCTGTCGGGATGCAGCAGGCGAAGGTGGTCGTGGTAAGATTCCGGGTCGCTGGCCGTGAAGCCACAGATCTCGCACACGAACAGCTTGGAGCGGCGCTCCTTGAACGAGTAGAGCTGCCGCAAGCTGTGAATCTTGTGCAGGTGCGACTCGAGCGAGCACCGCTGCGTGAACGCCTTGTCGCACGCCTGGCACTTGTAGGGGCGCACACCTGCACATCCGGGGGTGGTGGGTGGTGGTCAGTAGCGTCACGAGGGTAGGAGCAGGGAGTGCTTTGGCCCCCCCCCCCCTGTTGGCCAAAGCGACGAGTTGGGGCCCCCTTAACAAGCACCGTGAGATATGTTTTCAACAACAATGTCAAGGAACAAACACTTATTACGTGAAGACAGAGCGCCCCTGCAGCGTTAAGTGTTCGAGACCGTGAACGTGACGATGTGATTAGACAAGAGAAGAAAATAGCCTCTAGGTGCGACCGTGCGATACTAATCAAATATTGGGGGGGCCCCACCTGACCGATTGCCGTACCACCTGAGCTGAAAATGTCGTCACTGCGCCACTGGTGGTCACAGCGTCGGTGATTCCCGAACTAATTTAAGTTGATTTTGTCTAACCAGGTGAGACCTCAAGAGATCACGGAATGTATATCTCATTTTGCAAGCATTTACACTGGCGACGCATGTGCACGTGTGCTCGTGTGCAATACATTGGGGCGCAGTGATGATGGTGAATTTAACTCTGCACGTGGTCTACGTTGGGTGTGAATGGGTGGAACGATTCCCCCACTGACCATGAATCCAGGGTCACTATTCGGCTCAAGTGTTGATTCATTTTTTTCAGCAGCGCCTCTGGTGGCTGTAGCATGAACCCCGCTGCATGTTTTAAATGTATCGTGCTTATCCAGGTGATAACTGATTTTGCAACAGTGACCTGGGGCTTAAGTCTTCCAGTAGGGGGCGATGTATCATCCCAATCGAGTAATTTGTGGGGTTGTTTCGAATTTCGCAAATTTGGCACGCAATGGCCCACTCTTTACGAATGACGTCACTGAAGCAGACGGCGCGTAGTGTTGCCATGGTTACTACACCGGCAGTACTAATCAGGGCGGCCGCTGGAAACCGAACCGTGAACCTCTTGCATGCGACCTTTGTAGAGACACAGAGTATGCAGTTATCGATCGCCATCCTGCCACATTAACTAATATGGCCACAATGTGTACTCTGTTGAGTTTGTGGGATAAAACAAAGCTATGAAAGGCACTAGTATAATTATACACGCGGTATGGTAGGGTGATGTACAGAGATTTATTTCTCAATCGATATTTCCTTTCAAAACGCTGCTAGGCTGACTTGCAGTCGGTACTATTAACGTTAGGTAATACCATTGGAGTATCCTTCACGACGCCCCCTCTTCCCTCCCTGTGCTCAGTTGCGTTTCCGCTCCTCTTCCCTCCTGGCTGTCCTCCACCTCCATTGGCATAAACTCCCACTCCACATCAAACAGGCACCTTCACGTAAGATTTTCCGTTCCTCCCTTAAGACTCATCGCTTTTCAATAGCCTATCCCTCTCCTACATCCTGTCATCTTCCTTAAAACCTTAACCCCCCCTTCCCCTCCCTTACCTCACCACCGTCTCTTTCCCTATCATCAACCCTTCCTTGCCATGCCTTCCCCTCCCCAACACTCAAACCCCATCCATTTCCCCCATCAGCCAACACTAGTGTACCATTTATAATTCTTGTAAAGCGCTTTGACAAAGGCGCTACATACAATCTTACAACAGATAAGTACACGGCCCACAATAATCCTATATTCCTGTAATGAACATGTTTTTTTTTTAATCATAAACCCTCACAGGATGGATAAGGCGCTCCTAACATCACAAGTAGTCACTTGAGGCTGAGTCGACCATGGGCCAGGACCGTTTTCAAATAATCGTCGCTGGTGCTCGCCGTGAGCGGGAATCGAACTCGGTCCGCTGGCATTGTAACACCGTGCGCTAAACCACGACACTGCCGCTCCCCAACCGATGCTACGGTCGCAGTACACACACACACACACATATACACAGCTGCCTAGAAATCACCTCTTTCGTGTGTTAGATAGCATATACACTCGTAGAAATGACAGCATCTGTCAGTGCGTCAGCATCCGTCAATCCACCTCCGATTAGCACGGTTGGCTACGTACGGTGCGAGAGAAGCTCAACGTACACACGTGCAATGGGTAAGGAAGGCCTCTTCACGCCAAAGGCGTGAGTGGGTGGGTGGGTGGCGGGCGGCTCCGCGCGTGGTCGACTTTACACACACACACATATATATACAAATTATTGACGTCCAAAAAAACAACATTGTCGCGACCATACTCCACCGCGCCGGCGCCGTGCCCTTGCCGCTGCACTCCTCCTCACCCGTGTGCGTGCGCACGTGCCGCTTCAGGTCGAAGGTGTCGTTGAAGCCCTTGGCGCAGAAGGGGCACACGTGTCGCTTGACGCCGCTGTGGCACTTGACGTGGCGGTTGAGCATGCGCTGCAGGTCGAAGTGCTTGCCGCACACGGGGCACGAGAGGAGGCCCGCCTGGCCGCTCGCCGCGCCGTTCACCTGCCCGGGCACGGAGCGACAAGGCCTAGAGGTCTGTATGCAATGCACGGTGACACCACCACCACCACCATCACCCCCCCCACCCCCCCCCCGTTGTACGTCGCTTCGCAAGTACGTCGCCCGCTTTTTTGTGTGTTACTTTTAATACCGCCACTTGATTCGCGCCGCCTCAAATCCCTTCACCCGCCCACCGTCCCACTTGCGTCGCTCGGAGGGCTTTGGTGCGTCGTGCCCGGTACTCGTGAGTGTCTTGCGCTGTCAGGCCTCACTCCGTTGTCAGCCCAACCAACGTTCGGGAAAATATTGAGGTGAGAAATTACGACCGAGGTCGGTGACACGCCATATATTTCTCGTTGCAGTAATACCCCCGATATACGTCTGCCCCTTTCTACGTCGTTTCGCAAATACGTCGTCGCTTTATCTTATGAAGGCCGCTACCTGATGTGCTGCCGCCTCAACCCACCCACACTTACGTCGCTGACGGCATCATCCGTCTTTTGTCGTATCCGTCGCCTCCACCACCTGTTACCCTGTAAATCGCTTCGATTTTACGTCGTTTCGATATTCGTCGTGGCACCTTTCAGGAACGCATCCCCGACATGAACCGGGGTATTGCTGTGTATAGATGTAATAGTATTGGACTCGCAGCCCGCACGTCCTGAAGACGTGACCGTCTGTGCCTCTCTCCCTCCCTCCAGACCTGACGTCCTGCCTGCCCTCCAGCCAGCCAGTCGGCAAAACTTTGGTTTCTCTTACTATAGTATGAAGCATGATTATTAGTGAGGTTTCAAGCAAAGGCTTGAAACCTCACTAATAAACGTCGCCTATTATGCGTGAGGTTTCAAGCCTTTGCTTGAAACCTCACGCATAATAAGCCTTTGCTTGAAACCTCACGCATAATAGGCGACGTTTCGGAGAATGGCCCTTCAACTATGGTTAGCGACGTCCTGGTAAATTACTCTGCATATATAATAGGCGACGTATCATGCGATGGTCCTTATTCATTGCAGAAATATCATCTCGCCTCACTTGGCCGAGAGATAATATCTAATGAAAGGGATATGAAGAAGGGACATTGTCCGAAACGTCACCTGTCGTTTTTCTCTCTTCGTGCCAGTGTTATTGACGAGTTTGTTGAGTTTTTGTTCGGTTGCGAACCATTGCTTCTAGAGCATCGCATGATTGTTTTAACCATTCATGTTCCGTTTAGTTGTGTGTCTGTTTCCCACCATTCACCCCTCATTCTGCTATCGGCATCATTTAATGAGACGAATAATCCATTCGAATGTCGCGCAGAGCACGCAGTGTACAGCTTCGTGTTCGAGAACGCCCCGCAGAGGCGGACACCACGGAGCTACTCCTGAGCGCCTATCGAGTGAGCTGTGATGTTTGCTAAAAAATAAAGTGCCGAAGTAAAATTTAGCAACATTGTTATAGAAGGGAAAATTAGCGCAATTAAGTGCATTCATCGGTGACTGCGCTTATACCATCAGCTCGCTACTCTTGAGAACCCAATTTAATCACTGGCGGCTGAAACCTCGATTCGAACCCATGAGATTGCGATGTACAAAATCAGTGCTGTGACCTCTCAGACAACTTGATACATCGTTTGTCTCCCTGCCCCCCCGCCCTGGTGCACTCGCCGTCACGGCCGAACCTGCACCGCCAACGGTGGCCACCACCACCACCGCACCTGCAGCTGAGTGTCCCAGGCCGGTGGGCACCCGTGCGCCTCCCGTCGAGACATCATCGATACCAGGCTCTGAATGTCCCGCCACTCCGCGTGGAAATCCGCGGCGGCCGCTGCCCGCAGCTCGGTGGGCACGGGCAGCGGCGGGGGGCCACGGGGCAACACGCTGCCGTGCGGGTAGGGCCGCGCGGGAAGGGCCGCACGGGTAGGGCCGTGCGGGTAGGGCCGCGCGAGGAAGGGCCGCTGAGATGCTTCCGCGGACGAAAAGCGGACGGGCGGAGGCAGGAGGGAGAATCTCCGCAGGGACTCGAACGGACTCGCCGGGTACTGCGGCCGCGTCGGCGGCGCTAGCGGCGGTGGCGGGGCAGGGTCGGTGGGAGACGGGGACCGCGTGCCGAGGGATGGGTTCCCCATCGAGGAGCAAGGGGAGGACACCCGCACGGTGAGGTCGAGCGGCAGCTCCTCCGATGATTGCGGCAGCTCCTCGATGCTGCTGCTACCCGACGCTGGGAGGAAGGAGCGAGAACGGGAGAGAGGCGCGCGTGTTGATCAACCCGAGGGGCAGCGAGGCCACAGGCCGCCCGTTGCCTGTGGGGTCCGAGCTAGAGCTTTGGAGGCGAGGGTTGGTGAATCCCGTAGGGGAGTGGTGGTGGTTGGTTGCTTGGTGGTGGTGGTGCAATTGATTGATTATATAGACTTCCAAAGTGAAGACGGCCAATTTATCCGGGAAATCCATCGCAATCCATTGCTGTAAACGCGAATGGGCAACAGATATTTAATTCGGACTTCCATTTTTGTGCTTTTGTTCAATTATTGTGTCAGGAAATATGACGAACGTATGAGCCACGACCGATGACCATGTAACGGTATTGATAATGAAGGACTCAACTCTTTTGACGGATCATATATCAAGTGTTGACATTCAGCCTGAATAATCCGGAACGCAGTTCCAAGAATAAGTTTTGCAATACCACATTCAATTATCTCGTCTTATTTCGTCCATCTATTTTTTTCACGTGTTCATTAAAAAAAACACACACACACACATCGGGTACAATAATATCGGATTCTTATTAAGGATATCCGTACCTTGGCACTTTAGTGGCAGTGCCTAATCCCTACTCCAAGTAGTGCCTCATACACATAATCTCCACGAATCGCATATCGGGGGGGGGGGGGGGGGATTTTGAGTCAGAAATGAAGCCCTTCTGATATCGTGCGACAATATCGTAGTATCGCCATATCTCGGCAACCCCATTATTGACACGGGAGGTGGGAGGGTGGTGTCACCGACCTGTGGAGGGCGCGCCCTCATCCGCACACGTCTCAGGAGAGGAGTCTTGCCAGTCGCGACACCACCTGCTGACCCAGCGCTTCTTCATCATGAAGGAGCGAGGCATGATGATGCTGCTGCCGATGATGATGATAATGCTGGTGATGTTGCTGCTGATAGTAATGATCTTGATGGTGGAGGTGGTGGTAGTAGTCGTCGTAATGATAATGCGTATTGCGGTTGTGAGGCTGACGATGTTGGTGTTGATGGTGGCGTTTGTCGACGGCGTTGTTCCTTTGGTGGTGTGAGTGGTATGTACTTATGTTGAACTTCTGTCGCACCGTACGTAGCGGTGCTGATGATGGTGGTGGTGGTGGTGTTGCTGGTAGTGTTTTTAAAATGTCCTCAGCTCTTTGGTCAGTGCAATGACCACCAAGATAGTCTCCTTCTGCTGCTGATGCTGTTAATGTTTATGCTGCGTATTACTCTTTGGTTCTTTCGGCAAAGTATTCTTCTTCTTTTTCTTCTGATGATGATGATGATCACGATGTTCCTGCCACTGCTACTGCTGCTGATGATGATTCTTTCCACAAGCAGAAGAGCGACTCGCATCCACGTGGGCCTCGGGCGTACGGAACTTGGGTACGCGTCTCCGTCCGTCCGTTCACGCGCACGGAGGCACGCGCACGGAGGCACTAGTACGGACGCGCGCAACGCAAAACAAGCGACCCACACCCCAGCGGTCGATTGCCAGTTGTGAAACTCGTCGCGAGCGATCTCAGGCGAGGAGACGAAGAGAGGCGCGGCCGGCCCAACCTCGAAGACCAAGACCGGGCCACCCCGGCGAACGAGAAAGACGGGATGGCACGACGCTTGGAGATCATACGACATGGTTCCCCGACATAACGGTGCCAATGCGATTGCCAAAGGGTGGCCACGCCACTACCGGTTACACCGGTTCATCATATTGGTTCGTTGCATCGCCCGGAGCGATTGCACACACACACACGCACACAACTACAACGCATAACTTGACAGAACAGGTATAAAGTGTTGTTATTTACATTTTTGTATTCCTTCTCCCTGAAGTTCGCCGCTCATTATGCATGCGCAATCCTGAACGTCTACGTGTAACGATCACTCACGCGCGCACTGGATATTGTTAGGATAAAGTGTCGTCGTCTCAAGGCAAAACACATTACATTCATTTGTTCTGAGTCACGAGTGGCCAAAATAGGAGAACGTGTTTACGCGAATTATGAGGTCCACTCCGGCTCCGTTCTTGCCCCAATAATGTGAATGCTTCCATTAAAAAAGGTGCTTTCAGATTGCTTGGCTGCTATACATTTCCACGTGATAAGCCACTTCGTTGAGCTATCATTTTAGCCAGGTCGCTTCTGAAAAAGAGCTTTCTTCTTTTTTTGTCTCCTGATTGCTTGTGTTGCGATCGAAACGTCGTAGTTTTTGTAAAAAAAAAAATGGTCTACGTGACTTTACCGAAAGACCCAAAGAATAAGAGCTATACAGCTTAGCGGGCATATTAGTTGTATCTATATTAGTTGTATGTTTTTATGTTGAACTTCTTTCGCATTGTATGTAGCCAACCGTGTTAATCGGAGGTCCGGGGGACGGACAACAAACTAAACATAAAAAAGCCGTTCCAAAGGAATTCGTTTTCAACCTAGTTAGTAATTAGTTGTTCGGGTCCGTATTTTTTTAAGCCACCTTATGAGCAGAGCACCCGAAGTGAGCCCTATCTCTGTCACATCCCACAAACTCGACAGGCGTGAGCCTGCGCAGACCTTGTAAGGTCGACGTGTTGCCAGCGGGCTGCAGAACCGACGTGGTGGGACATCAGGATGCAGTGCAGCCAATTCGATTGTTGTATTGTACTTCAATGCTTCCAGGCAAGACTGTTCCTGGGGGGGGGGGTGCGGGTTCCCGGGGCAAATCCCACTGTGCCCCCCCCCCCCACCCTACAACGCATTCAAACTAAATCGGAAGTATGACATCTGACACCGTGACGTCGAAGCTCGGAGGCTCCCCCAAAGCACAGGGCCCGGGACGGTCGCTCCGATTCGCCGTACCCGAGGGACACCTCTGCTCCCAAGTCCTTCTTCACCAACTCGCATTGACCAGAGCGGGTGACAGCCGTACGGTAAAATAACCCTCCCCCCCCATCCCTCCCCCACCATGCATCGCATAGCTTGGAAATGCGCTCATCCAACAGTATGGGTTCACAAAACGTGTGCGCACGTAATATGCTTGTTTTGCATATGATTTTACAGAGGTGTATTCTTCGAGAAGAGGCGTGGGCTTCTGGGATTTTTACGGCATGCTTTTGGCCGAGGCGGGTAAACGTCAGGACGGGGAAGATGGGGAATCGGATGCGTGGTGGATTCCACGGAGCCATTCAGCCCAAAACTTAGGATTTTGTTGGATATCGAGTGTGCCAAATGAGACGTATTTGAGGAATTGGTGTCTTTTTTTTCTATCCGGCCAGGTGGCTCAGCGGTAGAAGGAGGGAGGTTTCGAGTTCAAATCTCGATCGGGGTGGGGTGGGGTGACTCATCCCATCATCCCTCAGGGGTCGAAATAAAACACGCCACTTTGTGGCGATGTGGAATTACCACCACTGGCTCAGGGCTGTAAAACAGGAGGCGAGCTGCAATGTCTCATAACTCATTTGAGTTGTTTGCTCGCTTTTGAGTTGCATGGTCATTAACGTTTGCTGCTGGTTCCGTTTCTCACGACAGTGATCACGTCGTTTCAGAGTCAGCATCAGCGCGATGCGACCGCGATTACCGCATTCTCCGTATAATAAGACGCAACTTGTTATTGTATTGTGTTTTAAATCAATAAAATGGGGTGGGAGGAGGAGGTGCGTCTCATAATCCGATATGTGTGCGTCTGCGTCAGAGAGATCCGATGTGTGTAACTTAATTGACGTCGGGCGCAGGTGTGTGGTGCGTTTAACTTTTTTTTAAACCGGAGAATACGGTAGTCGAGGATGATATGGGTTCGACTTTAACCGTCTCCCACTTTGATGAGCACGTGACGTGTTGATGTAAGGGCGCTCGTTTACCGTTGACGGTCTCCATGTGAACGAGGAGTGAATGGCTTAAAGCGAGCACGTGCGTTGCATTCAAACGCATCAGAGAGGAAATCCGTCCACCAGGGAGACGGAGCGATGAAATCACCTCGTGCACGGGAGCTAAATGGAGTATTGACATCGCGGGGACGTCAGGGATGGTGGCCGCTTGGGGAGGCCTTCATCCAGCAGTGGATTGGCCATGGCTGATGATGATGATGATAAGGACGTGCATCATCCATGTGACGAGGAAAGAGCGTTGTCTGCAATAACTCAAGCGAGCGTGGATAGGTGATCGCTTCCCGTTCACAGCCCTAAACCAGTTTTAGAAATGTCACATTCGCGGGCAAGTCCATCCAAAGAACAACCGTTGATGATTTGTACGTACTATGCATGTATGTTGAACTTATTTCGCACCAAGACGTAGCCAACTGCGTTAATCGGGGTTGCGGGGGAAGGACAACAAACTAAACACAAAAAAGCAGTTCTAAAGAGATTCAGTTTTCAAACGAGCCTCCTCCACACAATGGTACCCATTTCATTGTCCACAGAGGAATGACTCCTGGCCACAGCTGCAATCAGTGGCGAGTGATATCTGAATCAGTCCTTGGCACCAAACCTCTGCTAGTCCGTACTGACCAGCGTGGTGAAGTATGGTCCAACAACCACCAAAACTGAAATGGTGTAAAGGAGGCCCTTTATCCAGCAGTGGCTTGACTAAAGTGGCTGTTATATTATTCATTACGAGAGCATCGCTGTTATAATGCAAGCTTGTGCAGTGTCGCATGCATGTCGCAGTGGGCTCGGACAGTGATTCATTCATAGGTGCTCTGCCAAACTTTTAATTCACATTTTATAATATTCTTTAATCTGCAGTCAGTCAACGAGCTTTCTCAAAATGTCACATTTGATGCCAGCCTTGGCTCTGAGTGACGCCAGATCACTGCTGTTCTGAAATGCGTAATGGGCATGGCATTGGTCGTTGGCCAATGACATGCTTAAGCAAATAACTTTGCTAATCTCCGTGCCACACGAAAAAAGGAGAATATAAATGAGACATTACACAACACTAACGCTAACGACAGTTATTGACAACGATTGAAATTACCTGGATAAGCAAATGCAACTCGTAGTTGATTAGGTTAACAGTTTCAAAGGGATGGCGTGGTGGAGGTGCAGTTGTTGCTGCACTGCGCTTATGACCGTGTCCGCCTGAGTTTGATTCCCGGCCACGGCTAATGTCAGTGGCGAGCGCGCTCTCCCCCCCCCCCCTTTCCCTCGATCCCACCTTCACCAACACACTCACCAGCGTGGTGAAGTATGGTCAAACTCCCATTATTAACATGGCACGGAGGATGTGTGTGGGGGGGGGGGGGGGGGGGGTTCATCGAACAGTAGATTGACAATGAGCTGTACATTCTTCTAATAAAATAAAAACGTTGATAATAATGAATCATTAAAAAAACACTCATACGTTTGCTTAAATAATTAATGACTTCATATCACGCTAGTAGTCAAGTAGACATTATGTTCAGCTGGCCCAGCCTGTCCACGTCTCCATGCGGGACACTGCTTTGCGGCACAGACCCTGGAGACAACAAAAACGTCGCCGATTTATTAATAGGCACCTCGGCAGATGCCACTTGGAAACAGCGCTCAGAACGGGTCGGGCAGCTATGTTTTCCAGTTTGTATTATTCATCACCGTACAGTGCTTGATGTGCGAGCACTGAGTGCACACCTTCGGTGTGGTGTCGACTGGAACCTCTTGCGAATTTAACTCAGAGCAGCGATTGCTATCTCCTCCTCCGACACCGATGGACAATTCAGAATAGCCCTACAGAGCGACTGCGATCGCTGGTCTCAAATCATGGACCACATCATTCGCAGACAGAATTTAAGACGTTCGCCAAGTGTGAGTGTGTGTCTTGACTCCGCTTTGGGAGTTTATGGGTCTCTATGTGAGTATATGGGTGTCTACGTAAGTCTATAGCTGAAACCATAGACCACATAGTAACACCACTCACTGGCTTAATTTCAGATATTCACCAAGTGTGTGTGGCTCTCTATGTGAATCTATGGGTGTATATACAGTGAGGGAAAAAAGTATTTGATCCCCTGCTGATTTTGTACGTTTGCCCACTGACACAGAAATGATCAGTCTATAACATTAATGGAAGGTTTATTTAAAACAGTGAGAGACGGAATAACAAAACAATCCAGAAAAAAAGCATTTTAAAAATGTTATAAATTGATTTGCATTTTAATGAGGGAAATAAGTATTTGACCTCTCTGCAAAATATGACTTAGTACTGGGTGGCAAAACCCTTGTTGGCAATCACAGAGGTCAGACGTTTCTTTTAGTTGGCCACCAGGTTTGCACACATCTCAGGAGGGATTTTGTCCCACTCCTCTTTGCAGATCTTCTCCAAGTCATTAAGGTTTCGAGGCTGACGTTTGGCAACTCGAACCTTCAGCTCCCTCCACAGATTCTCTATGGGATTAAGGTCTGGAGACTGGCTAGGCCACTCCAGGACCTTAATGTGCTTCTTCTTGAGCCACTCCTTTGTTGCCTTGGCCGTGTGTTTTGGGTCATTGTCATGCTGGAATACCCATCCACGACCCATTTTCAATGCCCTGGCTGAGGGAAGGAGGTTCTCACCCAATATTTGACGGTACATGGCCCCGTCCATCGTCCCTTTGATGCGGTGAAGTTGTCCTGTCCCCTTAGCAGAAAAACACCCCAAAGCATAATGTTTCCACCTCCATGTTTGACGGTGGGGATGGTGTTCTTGGGGTCATAGGCAGCATTCCTCCTCCTCCAAACACGGCGAGTTGAGGTGATGCCAACGAGCTCCATTTTGGTCTCATCTGACCACAACACTTTCATCCAGTTGTCCTCTGAATCATTCAGATGCTCATTGGCAAACTTCAGACGGGCATGTATATGTGCTTTCTTGAGCAGGGGGACCTTGCGGGCGCTGCAGGATTTCAGTCCTTCACGGTGTAGTGTGTTACCAATTGTTTTCTTGGTGACTATGGTCCCAGCTGCCTTGAGATCATTGACAAGATCCTCCCGTGTAGTTCTAGGCTGATTCCTCACCGTTCTCGTGATCATTGCAACTCCACGAGGTGAGATCTTGCATGGAGCCCCAAGCCGAGGGAGATTGACAGTTCTTTTGTGTTTCTTCCATTTGCGAATAATCGCACCAACTGTTGTCACCTTCTCACCAAGCTGCTTGGCAATGGTCTTGTAGCCCATTCTAGCCTTTTGTAGGTCTACAATCTTGTCCCTGACATCCTTGGAGAGCTCTTTGGTCTTGGCCATGGTGGAGAGTTTGGAATCTGATTGATTGATTGCTTCTGTGGACAGGTGTCTTTTATACAGGTAACGAGCTGAGATTAGGAGCACTCCCTTTAGGAGTGTGCAGGTGTCTTTTATACAGGTAACGAGCTGAGATTAGGAGCACTCCCTTTAGGAGTGTGCTCCCTTTAGGAGTGTGCTCCTAATCTCAGCTCGTTACCTGTATAAAAGACACCTGGGAGCCAGAAATCTTTCTGATTGAGAGGGGGTTAAATACTTATTTCCCTCATTAAAATGCAAATCAATTTATAACATTTTTGACATGCGTTTTCTGCATTTTTTTGTTGTTATTCTGTCACTTACTGTTGAAATAAACCTACCATTAAAATTATAGACTGATAATTTCTTTGTCAGTGGGCAAACGTACAAAATCAGCAGGGGATCAAATACTTTTTTCCCTCACTGTAGATATAAAAAAAACTATACCGCGATGCCGCCCCAGTAATTACAGTGATTAACGTGCAACTGTAATGCTCACGATATGTACGTAGTACAAGCGCAAGACGGGACAAAGAAACCCCCAAAACACTCGTTCTCGATGGCGTAACGCACGACACTGTCACACCCGCGGGCTGGCACGTTACGCGCCGGGCATCATTGCCGCTGGACAATAGCCGGCGTTCATATCACCGCACGAAGCATAACGAGGGCGACGTGCGCGTGTGATTCCTGTTACACAACACGAGCGCGCGTTGCGGAAAGAAAGCGTTTTGCTGTTCGTCTCGAAGTCAATTCCGCGCGCGTTGTGCGTGCGCACGCGGACCCGGCGTCCCTGTCTATCCGACCACTCGAGGGATCGAGAGTGTCGGTCGCATGGCTGGCAGAGATGCCAGGCCAAAGGCGTGCCAGGGATGGGGAGGGAGGGAGGGAGGCTGGCTGGCAGGGAAAATCAGGCAGAGAATTGTTAATTTGTTTTGCTACGCGGTGGCAATGGCTCGTGCCTCACAGCAATGCGGACCAGGGTTCGGTTCCAGAATCGGGCGGACTTTATATGTTCTCCCTCTGTTCTGCAGTGTACGTGTGAGAGAGAGTGTGTGACTGAGTGTATGAGTAATTGTGGGTTTGTGTGTTCTCCACCTGGTGTGCAGTATACGTGTTTGTGTGAGTGTGTGAGTGATGATTTCATAGGTGCTCGCTAACAGCACTTGCCCAAAACAGTCTGTTACAGGCTATGCGGGGGATCTTTGTCTTTATCATTATTTTATTTACTTAAAATCGCACGATAAAACTTTTACAAATGTGTTGGAATAAAGACACGCCGACACAATATGAAGCAGAATTCTGTTAAATGTAGGTTCCTAAGGCAAGTGTAATCATTGTAGCGGTGGCCTGGAATTCATAGTGCAATGTGAAAACTACTGCCCCCCAATCCCCCATCAAAACAAAGATAAAATATCCTCATAGCCTTTAACAGGCTGTTGGGGCA